AAGATGCTGATTAGACAGCATGATTATTGCACAGGTGTGCCTTAGGCTGGCCACAATAAAAGGCCACTCTGAAAAGTGAATTTTTGCTTTATTGGGGGGGTCTGGGTGGGTCCGAAAACCAGTCAGTATCTGGTGTGAGGGGTAGGGTTAGGGTTAGGGTAATGTTGTGAATCGAGTGGCCTGTGTTCGTCGTCCATAACATACGCCTGCCCATACCATAACCCCACCACCACCATGGGCCAGTTCATCTCATCAAAAATGGGAGCAAAAACAAAAGTGTTGCGTTTATATTTTTGTTCAGTGTAGTATGTAACGCTAGACTTTTTGTGATATCCTTATTTAACCTTACATCTGAGGTAAACTTTTACATGCACTCTGCATTCAAACTTTACATATGTATTGAATCCTTTTAAAAAATGTCAAATAAAGAACCATAGTTAATACTTGTTCTCCTTAATTTCTTCTTCATTGGCCCCCTTTTCATTTGGTTATTTATCTTCCTTAGCCTTTAAATAAATTATCTGCCGCAACACTCTGCATCTTTCTGTCTATTACGGTGTTTTAATATCATACAAACTTTAAAAAAGACAACCTTTCCAAACACCATAAATGTTCCAATAAAAATGTATTGTTAAATGGTGCATCAATGGACCATGCAAAACTGCTGGCTTATTCACAAACGTATTGCGTCATCCAAGGACACGCAAATTATCCTCTAACATTATCCAAGTCTGCATTTAATTTTTCATTCAAGGTTCTTAGAAAGTTAAAGGTTTTGAAGATTAATAACCAAACAACTGCTTCGGTATTGAGATAATTAAGACTTGTTTACATCTGTGCAGCTTTTTTAATTATTTCCTTTGCCCTTTGATTGTGATGTGTTGGAGGACGAAATCAAGAGGCTTTAGAACTTATACGGACTCAACTCCCTCGAACAAGGAACTATTTGTGTTCGACTTTGTTGACTAAATTATTTTTGAGAGGGACTGTGGGAGCATTTTGTGAATTATTATCCTCTTATGGAACCAAAGGGTATGTAGGTGTCTTTCTGCTGCATGGTCTGATAAGTTATAGCAATAAGTGTACGCATGTTGTAAATGGTGTCCAGTTTTTAGACCGCTACCGCATGTCTCAATTTAAATGAATGGGAAGGAGCTTGCATAAAACGCTCATTTGTACGGCCTCTGTTATGCTTTCTTAACCCATGCCGTTACCTATCAACGCAATTCTGTTGAGATTTTTATCAACAGAATTCCATTGCTAGGTAACAGCATGGGTCATTCACTCCTTATTGAATGACATCAGAACGTCCTGATGTCATCACAAATTATGATATAATCATGTTATTGTTGACTGGTGGTACAGATGGCTTACTACGGTTGTGGTTACCCCACAAAAGAGACACCCGCCAAAAGTCTTTGGTGGGACACGTCAGGCCCATTACAAACATTGTCGTAAACAGAATGGACCGAACTGTCATCACTTTATCTGATGACAACATTTTTCGTGTTTGGTCTTTGAAGAGATTGGAGTGTAAGCAAAGCATCGAGATTCAAGGCATGAGACCAGCTCGTATCTCCAGTATGTGTTACAACATACTTAACAATGATTTAGTTCTGGCTAACACAGATCTAGTCAAATATTTTGGTAGGGGAACAGATGCTTTTAAAGAAACATTAACATCCCATGACAAGCCCCTGTGCAATGCTCTCTATCACAGCATTTACAAAAAGGTTGTCTCTGTTTGTCGAAAAGGTGAGGCTACACTTTGGGATGTCTTAACAGGAATGGCTGTCATGCAGTTTCAGGTCACTCCATATGGGGGGCACACTGCCATTGCATTTGATATACCACAGCGGAGACTAATCACAGTTTCCAAGGACGGGAAATCAAAACTGTGGAACTTCATCACTGGAGTTTTGCTTGAAGAATTTCCTGTTACCTTGCCAAGTTTATGTTTATGTTTATGTTTATTAAGGATCCCCATTAGCTTTTGCTCTCGACAAAAGCTACTCTTCCTGGGGTCCGACACTTAAAACAATACAACAATAATACAACAATAATACAGCAACATTTAGGACATAAGTCCTGACATCATTAATAACATTAAAAACATCACCAATATCATCAACAACATGCGATCAAATTAAATTAGGGTTCACAGCTCACAAGGGTACGTGGTCATTAGTAGATGGCTCTTCAATCTCTTCTTGAAAGAGGCTCTGGACTCTATTTCAGTAAGGTAGTTTGGCAATGAGTTCCATTCCTTTATAGCTCTATAAGACACAGAAGATTTCAGAAGATGTGTCCTGGGTTTAGGTGCCAGTAGATGGCCTGATGTAGCTTGTCTAGTCTTATGGTCATGCTCGTCTTTTGTGTAAACTATTTGATCATAAAAATACAGTGTTTTTTTGCTAAATTGGAAATTTTTTAGAAAAGTGATAACATGAGATTGCAGACGTTTCTCAACTGGAAGCCATGATAGGCTTCTATGCATAACTCCAATATGAGTGCGCTTCGAACAGTGGAGAGCTAGTCTGGCAGCCTTGTTTTGAGCTATTTGTAATTTCTGTATATGTGTTTTTGCTGCTGATGACCATATGACCGGACAGTACTCTATATGTGACAAAACCAGAGACTGAATGACTTGTTTCAAAGTGGTTGGTGTTACATACTTTGTACATTTTCTCGCCACAGCTATGCTCCTTCCCATTTTAGTTACGGTACTGTCAATTTGCTTTGTCCACCGTAAACCAGAATCAAGAACAATGCCAAGCAACTTAGTCTCGTTTACATGTTCCACTGGCTGACCAGCCGGCGTCAGGCTTAATTGAGGATTGCTGCTTAACATATGTCTGGATCCGAACACCATTGCTTTTGTTTTTACAATGTTGAGTACCAGTTTGTTATTGTTGACCCAGTCTGCTATGGCTTTAATCTCTATTTTAAGATAGTTTAACTCACTGCATGTTGATGCTGTACTGTACATCGTGGAATCATCAGCATACATTATTACACTGGACTTATTTAATACGTAAGGAAGGTCATTTGTGAATATAGAGTACAACAAAGGCCCAAGCGAACTCCCCTGTGGGACCCCACACTACAACACCTTACTTTCAGAAAAGCTCCCATTGAAAAACACTCGCTGCCTTCTCCTAGTCAGGTAGCTCTCCATCCAACACATAGCAACAGAATCAAAGCCATAGCATTTGAGTTTGTTCAGCAGCAGACTATGATCGATTACATCGAAAGCTGCGCTAAAGTCTAACATCACAGCTCCTACAAGCCTCCTATCATCCATGCTCTTTAACCAGTCGTCGGTCATTTGTGCAAGTGCTGTACTTGTAGAGTGACCATCTCTATAGGCATGTTGGTAGTTTGTTGTCAGATTGTTACTTGAAAAGTAGTATCGAATTTGGGTGTATACTATTTTTTCTATTAATTTACTTAACACTGGGAGGAGACTTATAGGTCGACTATTGGAACCAGCAAAGGTTTTTCTTTTATCCTTGGGTAATGGGATGACCTTGGCTTCCTTCCAGATCTCGGGGCACACGCCTTGCTCTAAACTTTTATTAAAAATGTGACTCAATGGCTTGGATATGTATTTGGCCGTCATTTTGAGCAGTTTACCATCCAAGTTGTCAATCCCAGGAGATTTATCATCGGACAGATGTAAAAGCATATTTTCAACATATTCTTCTGTAAAATTGTGGAATTCAAACATGCACTGCTTTTCCCTCATGATACAATCTTTAATGATGTGATGTGACACTGTGTCCTTGACTGCACCCATGGCATTCCTCAGCTTATCTACTTTATTTGTAAAATAATCATTAAAATTATTTGCAATATCTGCTGGCTTGGTAATGAATTTACCCTCGGTTTCTATAAAAGAAGGATGCATGTTTGAGTTCCTCCCCATTATGTTATTCAATATTTTCCATAATTTCTTTCCATCATTCGTAGAATCACTGATTTCTTGCATGTAGTATTCCCTCTTTCTACATTTATTCAATTTGGTTACCGCATTTCTTAGTTTACAGTAATGTTGTTTGTCACATAGAGAACCTGTTCTGTCTGCAGTTTTTTTAGCATCATCTCGTTGGACCATTAAACTTCTCATCTCGTCATTCAACCAAGGTGCACACTTTGACCGGGCAGACCATTTTCTCATAGGAACATGCTGATCGGCAATCCCCATGAAATACTTCATAAATACTCCCAGTGCTTTTTCTGGGTTTTCCTCATGGCAAACATCAAACCATTGCACATTCTTTACCTCCTCTACAAATTGTTCCTGATTAAACCCCTTATAAGACCTTCTATAATGTATCTTGGAGCCAGCCTTAGGTATTTTGGTCTTGCGTACTATAGCAACTAGATTATGATCACTAAAGCCAACTGTGAGTGACAACACTTTAGTGCAGTGCTCTGGCCTGTTAGTATAGATGTGGTCAATGCAGGTCGTTGTAATAGCCCCATGTTTATTTGTAGCCCTTCTGGTTGGTGATGTTATTACCCGAGTCATATTACACATTTTGGCAGCTAATGCAATCTTGTTCCACATGGGGCATTTCTCATTGAAGGCATTGATATTCAGGTCTCCCATGAAATATGTTTCGCTATTACACTCAGCTGTATTATCTACCATTTCACAAATACCATCTAGATAGTTTGAATTGGCACTCGGTGGCCTATAACAGCATCCAATTAATATGGGTTTTAAATTTTGCAATTGTATTTGTAACCATAAAGCTTCTATTTCATTTTTCATTAGGTTGTATCGTACTTTAGCTGGAATATGATTTTGTACATAGATCAAAACTCCGCCACCATTCTTATCTCTATCCTTTCTGAACAGATTGTAACCATGCATTGCAACCTCTGAATCATCAACAGATGAGTCCAGGTGTGATTCTGAGATAGCCAGTATGTGTATATTATTTGATTCTACCAAATGGCAGAGTTCATGCACCTTATTCCTCAACTACCCACATTCAAGTGAGCAAGTAACATTCCCTTCTTTGGCAGATTAACAGAATGTGACATTATTGTCATGTGTTCATAATTAGTTCACTAGCAGGAACCACGCCACAACAGTGTGATGTTTGTAAGTTTATTGAAGTAACATGTGAATGATATGAGGGGGGTGAAGAGATGATCTGGGAGGACGAGCTGTGGTCCGTGCAGTGGGAGACTCAGAGTGGGGGTTCCGTCTCCGGCATGATCTGCGTGGGCTGATTACGGGCCCCCAGACAATACCTGGGATTAAAATGTTAGTATATACAGTATATAAATATGCACCGTTTAAATATAAATGTTGACGGGTAGAGGATGTTGGGATGAAGGGATGAGGGATGGAGGGATGAAGGGATGTTGGGATGAGGGATGTTGGGATGAGGGATGTTGAGATGAGGGATGTTGGGATGAGGGATGTGGGGGATTTTGGATTGTGGGTATTAAGGGATGTAGGATGAGGGATGTGGTCATGTAGTGATGATGTGATGTTGGGGATTGAGGGCTGTTGGGCTGCGGGCTTGTGGGGCTTCGTGCTGCGGGGCTGTTTGGGCTGCGGCTGATGGGCCTGTCGGGCTGCGGGCTGTTGGGCTGCGGCTGTCGGGCTGCGGGCTGTTAGGGCGTGCCGGGCTGCGGGCTGTCCGGCTGCTTGACTGTTGGGCTGCGAGGCTGTATCAAGGGGCTGCGGGCCGTGTTTGGGCTGCGGGCTGTCGTGCTGTCGGTCTGGTAATGGAGCTGCCGGGCTGTCGGGCTGGCGGGCTTGTTTGGGCTGCGGGCTGACGGGCTGCGGCTGGAGGGATGGGGGGCTGTAGGGATGTTGAGGGAGGGAAGAAGGGATGGATGGATGTATCGCTCGGTGTGAGTCGGAAGGGGAACTGTATGGGTAGAAGGGAGAGGGAGGGTGGGTTGAAAGGATGGAGACAAGCGGTGGCCGGAAGTTTTGCCGGATATAAATAGGGGTGGCCGTGGTTCGAGGTGGAGTTTTAGGCGTGGCCATGCTCCTGAACCTATGTTAACAATTTAACCTCATTTCACTAGCAGGAACCACGCCACAACAGTGTGATGTTTGTAAGTTTATTGAAGTAACATGTGAATGATATGAGGGGGGTGAAGAGATGATCTGGGAGGACGAGCTGTGGTCCGTGCAGTGGGAGACTCAGAGTGGGGGTTCCGTCTCCGGCATGATCTGCGTGGGCTTATTACGGGCCCCCAAAAGAGTCGGATTAAAGCAGCTGACTTAAGAGTGTGCGACTGTGCGTGTCTGAGATCATTGAGATTGTTGCGGATGTAAGCGTGATACGTTTGGGATGACGAGCGGCCGAGGGCCTAGATGGTTGGATAAGAGATGCCCGGTCTAGCTGCTGTGGACGCTGCGCCAATGCAGAAGGAATGGCTCGAATAATATTCTGAACATATCCCCAAAATAAGCAACGCGTTGTGGAAGTGTTTCTGGAACCAGAAACGTGTGGCCGTTTTCCCTGTTTCGGTGAGAAAGAGTGGGTGTTGAGGCGTTGCGTATGCATCGTACCTTGCGCTGAGGTATTTGGTTAGTGGCTCGTATGGCTGGGATACGAGTTCAGGCGGAAGATGTGGATGGGGAAAGAAATTCCCAGCTGATCCGTTTTATTCCGGAGTGTGAATATGAGAGTCGTTTGCCGTGGAGGGCTAACAGCTGCCATTTCGTGCATCTGTCTGCCTGTAAGTAGTTTGACAAGAGGAGAGTGATGCGCTGTACTTTCTCTGAGGATAGAGAAGCCCGGAAAGACATTAAGTCCAGGGTGATGCCTAGAAACTCAATGGAGGTTGTCGGCCCTGAGGTTTTCTCCTCAGACAGAGGAATGCCAAGGTCTGAAAATGTTTGTATGAGTGTGCTCAGCCCGTGGCGGGGGGGGTGAGGATGGTGGAGTGACGATGAGAAGTCGTCAAGGAGATGGAGCACGTAGGGGAGTCTGTGGTTATTTGTCAAGATCCATCACAGAGCTTCTGAAAGGGAATCGAAGATTTTGGGACTGCTTCTGCAGCCGAATGTAAGGCGTACTGAGAAGTAATAGGCTCCCATCCAGTACACTCCGAAGAAATGCCAGAAATCTGGGTGTATAGGCAAGATCTTGAATGCACTGGTGATGTCTGCCTTAGAGAGCCATGCTCCCCGGCCTGCTAAGCGGATGAGGGTGATGGCGTGGTCGATGTTTGCGTATTGCATTGAAAAGTCTGGGCTTGGAATGACGCTGTTAATGCTCGGGATGGCTGAGCCGTGTGGAGAAGACAGGTCTATTATGAGCCTCTTTTTCCCGGAGTATTTCCTAGTAGCTATGCCTATTGGACTGATGCGGAACACTGGAAAGGGGGGACTATCGAATGGGCCTATCATGAACCCTTCTTTGACTTATTTCGCTAGTAAGGTGTCGACGGTGTGAGGTTCTGTTAAAGCGGACTGAAGGTTGTGGCAGATGTGAGATGTGTCGGGCAGTATTGCTATGCCTGGGTGGGAACCATGGGTGAAGCCATTGGTGAGAAAGTAAACAGACTATCTGGATGATTCGCTGAGGCGGTAGCTAAGTTGCTTATCTTGACGGGTGTGCTGAGGTGCCGTGCTAGTCAATCTGCTGATGTAGTTGGGTTGTGAGGGCAGGTGCTCCTGGCATGAGCGCCGCCGCAGAAAGAGCAGATTTGCATGAGGCGGCAGCTAGAAAAAGAGCAGCCTAGGTCATTGAAATTGTTGCACACCATCCTGCCTCCCTGCGGGTGATAGACGGTTAAAGTCTGAGGCGTTGCATGGTGGAGAGGAAAGTGAGTGAGGTGTTTGAGATGGTGGAGAGCTGACTAAGCATGCTAAGGCCGGGTGGGGGGGGCTCCGCATAATTGGCAAGTGAGGGATGCGCGTGCTGCGAAGATGCGGCAGTAACGCTCGGAGTCCGGAGCAGCCCGGTATGTTCCCTGGTTGAACGGCTTGATGCGGCCGGCGGCTTGGCTAGCGAAGTTTATTTTATTATTTGTATTATTTTCCCTGAGAGAGAGACCGGAGCGTCTACTCACGGCGAGGGTCGGAGAGAGAGAGACCGGAGCGTCTGCTCACTGCGAGGGTCAGAGACAGAGAGACCGGAGCGTCTGCTCACTGCGAGGGTCGGAGAGAGAGAGACCGGAGTGTCTGCTCACTGCAAAGTTCAGAGAGAGAGAGACCGGAGCGTCTGCTCACTGCGAGGGTCGGAGAGAGAGAGACCGGAGCGTCTGCTCACTGCAAAGTTCAGAGAGAGAGAGACCGGAGCATCTGCTCACTGCGAGGGTAAGAGAGAGAGAGACCGGAGCATCTGCTCACTGCGAGGGTCAGAGAGAGAGAGAGACTGGAGCCTCTGCTCGCTACGAGGGTCAGAGAGAGAGAGACCGGAACGTCTACTCACTGCGAGGGTCAGAGAGAGCGAGACCGGAGCGTCTGCTCACTGCGAGGGTCAGAGACAGAGAGACCGGAGCATCTGCTCACTGCGAGGGTCGGAGAGAGAGAGACCGGAGCGTATGCTCACTGCAAAATTCAGAGAGAGAGAGACCGGAGCATCTGCTCACTGCGAGGGTCGGGGAGAGAGAGACCGGAGCGTCTGCTCACTGCGAGGGTCAGAGAGAGAGAGACCGGAGCATCTTCTCACTGCGGGGGTTAGAGAGAGAGAGACCGGAGCGTCTGCTCACTGCGAGGGTCAGAGACAGAGAGACCGGAGCATCTGCTCACTGCGAGGGTCGGAGAGAGAGAGACCGGAGCATCTGCTCACTGCAAAGTTCAGAGAGAGAGAGACCGGGGCCTCTGCTCGCTGTGAGGGTCGGAGGGAGAGACCGGAGCGTCTGCTCGCTGCGAGGGTCGGAGAGACCGGAGCATCTGCTCACTGTGAGGGTCAGAGAGAGAGAGACCGGAACGTCTGCTCACTGCGAGGATCGGAGAGAGAGAGAGACCGGAGCATCTGCTCACTGCGAGGGTCAGAGAGAGAGAGACCGGAGCGTCTGCTCACTGCGAGGGTCAGAGAGAGGGAGACCGGAGCGTCTGCTCACTGCGAGGGTCAGAGAGAGAGAGACCGGAGCGTGTGCTCGCTGTGGGGGTCAGAGAGAGAGAGACCGGAGCGTTTGCTCACTGCGAGGGTCAGAGAGAGGGAGACCGGAGCGTCTGCTCACTGGGTGAGGCGCTGTTGCTACGGGGTTAGCTGCTAGAGGAGGAAGGTAAGCGGAAGCTGGGTTGCTGTGGACTGCTGAAGGTAGGAAAGAAGAAGAAGAAGGGATGGAGGGATGAAGGGATGTATGTGCAAGGGGATTTTCGTGAAGCCTGTGAGCAGGCACAGAGGGCAATACGACCTGGCCCCCGCCAGGGGGTGCTGGTGAGTCGGGCTGTGTCCAAGGAGGAGGACGGAGGCCTGTGACGTCACGACTCATGATGCGCGTGCGCCGCGCGGTGGTTGGCTCTGGAGCCGGAAGAGCTGTGTGTGTCGTTGTTCTTGCCGTTGTGCTGCTGTAGGCTTTGTAGAGGTTGAACAGTCTAGCCTTGTTGTCATTTCGGGGAAAGTGGATGCCGTTTTCTTTCAGGAAACGTTGGAGTTGAATGACAGTCCACCTCCTGAGTTCGGGCTCTGTTTCGGAGTGCGGCTCCATCCGAGAGGCATGTCGGGTGCGCCACTGCGAGTGGCCGGGGGCTGCTAATGGCCGGGGGCTGCTAATGAGGCAGGCTGCCGTTGGTGGGGAGATTGGAGCTGGCTGTGCCTGTTGTGGCCCCGGTTGTTTGCCCTCGCTGGCGGAGTAGACGAAGCCTGGGACCTGTCTGGAGTTGGAGGTGTCTCGTTGGGGGAGCTTGAGTGGGAGCGGTTGCGGCTGGTGTGTGGGACACTGATTGCCGAGCGCACGCGGCTCCGTTCGGATGCTTGGCTTAGATCCAACTGCTGAAACGTGGATGGCGGGTAGCCGATGTCGAAGAGATCTTCGTCTGACTCCGGTGAGTTGATCAGCAGTTCGGAATCCATGGTAAGTTGAATGTTCTCGTGGTAGCGTTTAGCTTGTTTGAACCGTGACGACGCACGGCGTGAATCACGGTCTGGCTGTCAGTCCTTGAAAGGATGGAGACAAGCGGTGGCCGGAAGTTTTGCCGGATATAAATAGGGGTGGCCGTGGTTCGAGGCGGAGTTTTAGGCGTGGCCATGCTCCTGAACCTATGTTAACAATTTAACCTCATTTCATATCAGATATACCTTAAAAGTCCAGTGATACAATTAGGTTCTGGAGTGCTGTGGGGGGCGGATTATCAGCTTGTCATGCCTCAGGAAGGCAATCTCTCCCCTCTCCCGCGCTTCCCACAATTTAGGGAGTAGCTCTTTCCTTTTCATTCTGACTGCTTCAGTGTAATCTTCATTAATGTAGATGTTCGTCCCTCTTAGATTTTTGGCTCTCTCCAAAACCGCTGATCTGTCCTTGAACCTCAGGAACTTCACTACTATGGGTCTGGGTCTGGTATTGTTAGCGGCTGGCTTCCCAGTGCGGTGAGCTCGCTCAATCTCAATGCCTCGTTGAAGCTGGAGTTTGTCCACAAGAATGTCTTTCACCTTTTCCTCAGTTTGCGCCCAGGTCTCCCCAGGCTCCTCACCGATGCCGTCAAGAACCACGTTGCTCCTTCTCGATTGTCCTTCTGCATATTCCATTTTGTCAGTGACAGCTGACAGGCCGTCACTATTTCTCAAGATGTCAGCTTGCATAGACTTACAGTGTACAGACTGTTTCACATTTTGAGTTTTCATGTCATCTGTATCCTTTTGAGTAAATTGAATGCTAGACCTGATTTCCTGAACCTCCCTTGTAATGGCATCCAGCCTTGTGTTAGTGGAATCCATAATCATTTTAACAAAGCCTCTGAAGTTCTCCTGTTGCTGCTGTAAGAGTGCAGTAAACATGTCTTTCTGCTGATTTAGTAACTCTGTTACCTGAGCAAGAGAGACCAGATCCTCCTCTGGTTTTCCTTCTTTGCTGTCCATCTGCACCTTCTTTGGTGGCATACTGAAAGCTGTGGTTGGTGAGATAGCTCAGGGTAGATGTTAGCTGCTGCAGATAATTCCAGGTAGATGTTAGCTGCTGCAGATAGCTCCAGGTAGATGTTAGCTGCTGCAGATAGCTCCAGGCAGACATTAGCTGCTGCAGATAGCTCCGGGTAGATGTTAGCTGCTGCAGATAGCTCCAGGCAGACATTGGCTGCTGCAGATAGCTCCAGGTAGATGTTAGCTGCTGCAGATAGCTCCAGGCAGACGTTAGCTGCTGCAGATAGCTCCGGGCAGATGTTAGCTGCTGCAGATAGCTCCAGGTAGACGTTAGCTGCTGCAGATAGCTCCAGGTAGATGTTAGCTGCTGCAGATAGCTCCAGGTAGATGTTAGCTGCTGCAGATAGCTCCAGGTAGATGTTAGCTGCTGCAGATAGCTCCAGGTAGATGTTAGCAAAAATAAACCCTGTGAACTTTGGAAATTACTCAATAACCAGCTTGGCTGCAGTAAAAAACTCAAAACGAGATTTTCTAACTTAAACATAAAGACAGATAACAGGCTCATCACAGACAAACTGGATGTGGCCAAGTACTTGAACATTTTTTTCACAAACATAGCCACAACTCTTGTAAATAAATTACCCTCCCACTCAGGGCTTTTTGGAGTATATCACATCATGACCTACTACAAAAACCTAGGGGTACGCAAAGATGATTTCAGTCTAGCAAGGGTAACAACAGCAGAGGTACTCATTAAACTGAGCGCCCTCCAACCTAACAAGGCCACTGGCCACGACAATATCCCCTCCAAATTCCTCAGAGACACAGCAACCGCCATCTCACCAGTCATAGCTCACATAATTAACCTCTCCATAAAACAGGGAAAAGTACCCAAAGACTTCAAAATTGCAAGAGTAAACCCCCTGCACAAAAAGGGCAGCAAATTGGACCCAGGCAACTACCGCCCTGTTTCTATACTTACCTCCATCTCGAAAGTCATGGAAAAAATAGTATATGAACAGGTCGAAAAGTACCTCGCGGAAAATAAACTAATCTATGAATTTCAATCTGGCTTTAGAACATCCCACTCCACTGACACATGCCTTCTTTATTTGAGCGACCACATCAAACAAGAGTTGGACGAGGGCAAGTACTGCGGCATGGTGATGCTGGACCTACAAAAGGCTTTCGACACTGTCAATCACCCCATTCTGATTGACAAGCTAAAAGCAATTGGTTTTGATAAACTATCGGTGAGCTGGATGCAATCCTACCTGGAGGGGAGAGAACAGATGCTGGAGGTAAACGGTACTCTGTCCCCCCCCCCCTCCCAGTGAGCTGTGGTGTTCCACAAGGAAGCATATTAGGTCCGTTACTGTTCCTAATTTATGTAAATGACATGTCATCAGCATGTGACTGCAACTTGTTCCTGTTCGCGGACGACTCAGCCCTGCTGGTCTCTGACAGGAACAGGTTGCAGGTTGAAAAAACCCTCAGCTCCGAGCTCGGCAGAATCTGCACCTGGCTCGCCGATAATAAATTATCATTATACCTGGGTAAAACAGAGTCCATTCTCTTCGGTTCGAAACATAATCTCAGCAAATCCGACGACTTCTCAGTTGCAGTGGGCGACATTATTGTCACAAGTAAGAAGGAAATTACATACCTAGGATCTATTCTTGAGGCAAACCTCTCCTGTGACAAAATGGCATCCAATGTAATAAAAAAAGTCAATCAAAGAACTAGATTCCTATACCGGATCTCCTCTCTGGTAAACAAAAACACCCTGAAAACTCTGGCAGGAGCACTCATTCAAGGGTACTATGACTATGCTTGCACGTCATGGTACCATAGCACCTCCAAGGCGCTAAAAATAAAACTTCAAACATCGCAAAATAAACTGGTCAGACTACTGCTTGACCTTTCATCTAGAACCCACCTCACCTCTGCCCACTTTGACAACCTAGGATGGCTTAGAGTAGACGACAGAGTACAGCTACTTGCAATGGGCCTGGTCTACAAGATCCACTACACCTCTATGGTACCCATGTACATGTCAAAATTCTTCCCAAAGGTCAAGGAATACCATGATCATAACACCAGAGGGAGCTCCACAAATCATGTGAAACCCAGATTTGGCACAAAAAAGGGGGAATACACGTTTCGCAATTATGCCACATCAAGGTGGAACGCTCTTCCCACAACTGTAAAGGAAAGTAAAACTATACTTACCTTCAAAACCTCTCTTAAAGAGCACCTTCGGGGGAGAGCATTGCAAAACTGGCCCCGGTAATGGTACAAATCTCAACCTGTCGTTCAATGGACAGCTTCCCCCCTCCATCTATACTCGCATTTTAGACTCTGTTACTAACTGTATATCTGTAGACTTGGTATGTCTTAAATGTCCGGTTAGGATGTATTAGAACGAAATCTAAAATGAAAATTGTAAATAAGCAATCTGTATGTAAAAAACCACCTGTATGTAAATTGTAAATAAGCCATCTGTATGTCAAATATGTCTTATATGTCTTAAATGACATGATGAATTGGAAATGGGGGACCCTGATGTAAACAAGACGAGTCTTTCTCTGGTCTGCATCCCCTTAACAATTGTATGTTTTGAGCTGTACTGTACTGTACCCAATATACAAGCTGTTAATAAACTTTTCAATCAATCAATCAAGCTGCAGATAGCTCCAGGTATATGTTAGCTGCTGCAGATAGCTCCAGGTAGATGCTAGCTGTTAACTTAACTCAATACAACAAAGTTAAAACTACTTTCTTGTGAGATCAGTTATTTAACTCATCACAGATGACAGTAGCAACAGAAGAGCATCCACTCTGTGAATGCCGCGAGACTGAGTTGGTTACCTTTGGCTGGTGGGCAGTGCACTAGTTCGCTGACGTTGTCCGTGTCAACAGGAGTGAGGTGACAACAGGTATTGTCTGCATGGACGAGAGTGTGTTTGTGTCGGGAAGGAACTCGAATAAACAGAATTTTTGTCGTGGATTTGGAGGGTTATGACAACATATTTTTGGAACATGATTATTTAGATGCATCAGATGCAACAGCATCAGAGCACGGTGCAGAGTCTCTAGATGAGTTTACAGTAGTCCGTGGCTGCAGTCGAATAGTCCATTTAGTTTAGGAACCTTCCTAACCGAGTGAAATGACCCGGAAGTCCCTCAGTGGCAGCCATGATAAGTGCCGTTCGAATTCTCCAAATGAAAGGAAAGGAGGTTTCAAACTTCCTTTATAACCTCCTTTAGCTTAGGAATAACTGGACCTCCCTAACCGAAAGGAGAGGAGAAAATGCTGCCCCACAATGCCTTGCAGCCGCAGCATTTGCCGTCACACGACAGTCGGCCGTTCACGGAAACAACCGATTATGACCGAGAAATTATATCATGAAAGTTACGGTGCTTATTAAGCTTTTTAAAACGTAGGTGGCAACTTGCCAAAGTGCTTTATTTTGAACGTTCATCAGTATTATAATCAAAAAGATAAATATTAACGTTAGTTTTTACTGAAATTATCAAATAAAGTCAACATTTCACAGTCTTTACTGAGCTGTGTGGGGTTTGTTCAACTTTTAAAAGATGTTTGAATGGTGATATACACAGTGATATATGTTAAGGACTAACGTTTATAATAAATACATTTGTATTGATTTTAAGATATTTTCATAGTTCATACAATCATACGTATTGGGATCATTTGTATTAATGTGGACCGGAGGGAGAGGGCGACGAGCATAAGTTTCACTTTCCTTTTTTATTTCAATTCCAACTTTGGTCATGAAGAATATGTTTCTCTGTTGTCCACGTTCATAAAGCATAAAACAACAGCATCAGAGCACGGTGCAGAGTCCCTAGATGAGTTTACAGTAGTCCCTCGTTCTTATTAAACATCCATGTTGTAGTCCGCTGTATAGAAAACTGTAGTTTCCATAGTTTCCCCACAGCAGCAGCAGACGCACATTCAGGACGTCCGCTGGCGCATCATAAACACGTCGGATAGTGAAAGTGCATTCGGATTCTCTAAGCACCGCAGTCTCTTCTCCTAAATCCTTTTGAATTCTCCTATCCACTATCCCTTAACCCCGTGACGTTTCACTCAGAGGTCAAGGAATAGGAGATAGGGTTAGAATTTAGGAGCTGATTTTTGGATTATCGGAACGCAACCCTGTAGTTTCCATAGTTTCCCCACAGCAGCAGCAGACGCACATTTATGACGTCCGCTGGCGCATCATAAACACGTTGGACAGAGAAAGTGCAGTCGGATTCTCTAAAGCAGAGGTTCTCAATTGTTTTTCAGCCAAGGACCCCTTACAAGATAGAGAATACACCAAGGACCCCCTCATTCTGATTTGTGATTTTGGGCTATATAAATAAAAATGTACTTGATTTGACTTGTATGTCCCTTGGAATAATCTGACGTAGCCTATTTGTTACACTTCTATAGTCTTAGTCATGTGAAAGAACAACACAAGAGAAATGTATTAGAAAGATATTGGATATGTATTAAAAATATTTGCACCATCTCAACACAGAATACCCATAACACAATCAATCAATTAGCTGCAAGTAACACTGTACCTAAAGAAAATATCAAAGGGAAATCAAGAGAAAAGTGATCATTTGAATTGCATTTCAGAACACACACACACACACACACACACACACACACACACACACACACACACACACACACACACACACACACACACACACACACACACACACACACACACACACACACACACACACACACACACACACACACACATCACACACACACACACACACACACACATACACACACACACACACACACACACACAGGGGTTAAAGTGGGCCGGAACGATCCAGAACAGCGTTCCGGCACCTTCGATTAATAAGTAAATACATCTGATTGGCAGTTTCATACATAATAATGTCAAGCGAGTTCACAGGGCTGCCAACTCTCACACAATTGACATTTTTCACACGCTCTCAGCCACAAGTCCGTTTTCTCAAGCAGTGAAAAACAAATTCATAACTGATAATGTCATGGTGCGAAAAGAAGACACTTCTGCACATTGCGCAACAGCAGCACCATGACCATCTGAATAGCG